TTGGGAGGGCTACAGTAGTCAGAGTCCACAGTTTTTCAATGGCTAAGTCCTTTCCAGGAAAGGAGTCTTTTTCCCTTCCCTTGGGCTCTGCTGTCGTTGTAGGGCGTGAGAGCTCCCCCTTCTGGCCTCCTGAGTCTATTTAATTGAGGTTATATTTTACACTATATACTTTGTTATTCCTATATAAATATATATAATTAAAACATACAGAAATGCATGGGAATGATGAATAAATAAGGATAATAGTTATTTCTAGGGAAGGCTGATGAATGTAGTCAGAGATAGAACACAGGGAGTTTTAATTGTGCCTGCAGTAATTGATTTCTTTAAAGATCATTTGAGACAATCTGAAAAGATACTCTCATTCTTTAAATGGCTGTTTGTTTTACTCCCTATAACTCTCTGTATGTTGGAATTGTTCTAAGTAAATTGGAAAAAAGAGAATTAACAGTCATTGAGCTCTTACTGTGCCGATCATGATGCTAAAAGCCTTTACTTACAATTTCATATATTTCTCACAAAACCTCTATAAAATGGTCATCATTTAGGTCCATTTTATTTACAAAGAAATTTTATCTCAAGAAGGTTAAATTTTTAAAAGGTTAAAATATACAGAAAAGTCTGGTTTCAAACATTGTAGAGGCATTCTGCTAAACCATGAGTTTTTAAAATGTGTCTCTGAAGCAAAACATGATAAACCCGAAGCTTTTATTCAAGTTTAATCTGTCTCCATAAGTCCCTTAAGCATTAATATGGCATGAAAATGCCTGGTGTTTCCAATTTTCCATGGTGCCTTAGTACAAGTTTTTAATACAATCATAAAGATGGTGTGCTAATATGATAAAAAATTCTATCATACATTTGCCAAATGATATGGATGGTGTGCCACAAGAAAACAGGAGCAATTTCTGAAGCATCTTCTGAAGTTATTTGCCATTTTGTCCCTCAATGCAGTTCACAGGAAAACTGCCTGGATGTGACTTTGGCTGTGATGCTTACTGTTTCAATTACTCTGCTTCTGGCTTGGCTGCCCAGACATTTAAAACTAGAACAAGGGTTTCAGATTGAGAAAAGGGAAGGGATTGGAATAACTGCTTTCCTTAGACTTTCCTAGGTAAAATCACCCAGTAAGGATGAATATAGAAAGTAGAAAAATCTAATACATTTTTAATCTCTTTCTTTGGCTTTTTTTAACAATTTCTCTAAAATACATACTTTGAGGTGAAATGCTGCTGTGTCATAAGAAATACAGATATTTAATATTATTAGTTATTTTCAAAATACTCCCTAGGATGTTCATGCTAATTGATTCTGTAATAACAGTATATGAAATTTCCTACTGTGTCATAATTTATCACATGTTACTATCAGGCTTTTAAATTTCTGTGAATCTGTGAATCTGATTGATGTGAAATGCTATTGCTGTTTTAATTTGTACCACTTGATCCCTGAGGAGTTAGGAAAGAATATTTTCTTTCTTTTTTTTGTTGGCTATTTTAATTTCTTCTGTGAATTGCCCATTCGTATCCCTCATCTACTTTTAAAACTTATTTATTTATAATTTTCGTATTGATTTATAGGAGTTCTTTATGTACTCTGGAATACCAACTTTTTCAGTTTTATATATTGAAACTATTTTTTTCTAAGTTAATAAAATACTTGACATTCTGTGTACCTAGAAACTCTGCCACACCATCTTGTTAAAATTTTGGCTGGAGAATGTAGGCATTGGAGGGATATGATTGATGGATACACTCACTGCAGGTATACTAGTGGCTTAACTGGAAAATAAAAATCTCAGTCCTCTAGCCTTCTTCCTGACAAATTTAAATGACCAAAGCTGGGGCCCTCTGAACTGTCTATTTTTTAAAACGCTATGGTAATCAAGACAGTGCAATAGACACATGTATCAATGGAACCAAAGCGAGAGCCCAAAAATAGATCCATAAAAGTATAGTCAACTGACCTTTGACAAAGGAGCAAAGGCAACTCAATGGAGAAAGGATAATCTTTATACAAATAGTGCCAGAACAACTAGACATCTATTTGTAAAATAATCATCATATCATCTTACTTGTTTCACAAAAATTAACTAAAAATGGATCATAGACTTTAAAATAAAACTTCTAAAAGAAAACGTAGGAGAAAATCTATCTGGGTTTTAGCAATGAGTTTTTAGATTCAACTAAAGTAAAACTGATAAAAGAACAAACATGTTTTCAACTTTATTAAAATTAAATACTGAAAAACTTCCGCTCTATTGAAGACACCTTTAAGGGAAACAAAAGGGAAGCCACATACTAATAGAACATATTTGCAAACCACATAACTGATTAAGGGTTTTTATCTAAAATACACCAAAAAATCTTAAAACTCAACAGTAAGGAAATAAACAACTCAATTCAGAAATAGATGAAAAGTCTGAGCAGGTATCTTACCAGAGAAGATATACAGCTGAAAAATAAGCATATGAAAAAATTCTCAACATCAGTTGTTTTTAGGTAATTGCAAATCAAAACAACAATGAGGGGCTTCCCTGGTGGCACAGTGGTTGAGAATCTGCCTGCCGATGCAGGGGACACGGGTTCGAGCCCTGGTCTGGGAAGATCCCACATGCCGCGGAGCAGCTAGGCCCATGAGCCACAACTACTGAGCCTGCACGTCTGGAGCCTGTGCTCCGCAACAAGAGAGACCACGACCGTGGGAGGCCCTCGCACAGCGATGAAGAGTGGCCCCCGCTTGCCGCAACTGGAGAAAGCCCTCGCACAGAAACGAAGACCCAACACAGACAAAAATAAATAAATAAATAATTTAAAATGAATATGTGCTTATTAAAAAAAAAAAAGAAAATGCAAATTGTTTTAAAAAAAATAAAAAGGTGATTCTGGTAACAGGATAGATTAGTGGTCTTCAAAAAAACAAACAAACAAAAAACAACGAGATACCACTAGATACTTACTGGAATGGCTAAAATCCAAACAACTGAAAATACAATATGCTAGTGAGGATGTGGAACAACTGAAATTTTCATTCATTGTTGGTGGGAATGCAAAATGGTACACCATTTTGGAAGTTATTTGGGCAGTTTTTTACAAAGCTAAATATAGTCTTAACATATGATTCAGGAATTGTACTCCAGGATATTTTTTTCCAATTGACTTGAAAACATATGACCACACAAAGATCTGCACATGAATGTTTACAGCAGCTTTATTCATAACTGTCAAAAACTGGAAGCAGCTGGAAGGAAGATGTCCCTCAGAAGGTTAACGGATGAACAAATAGTGGTATATTCATACAATAGAATGTTATTCACCACTTTAACATATATGAGCTATCAAGATATGATGGAATTTTAAGTACATCTTGCTAAAGGAAAGAAATCAATCTGAAAGATCTACATATTGTATGATTCCAGTTATATGACATTCTGGAAAAAGTACAATCATGGAAACAGAAAATAATAAGTTGTATAAAAATCATGTTTTTTATTTTCTGTATTCTATGATACTTTGACATTTTGGGGCCTTGTGAACTCAGGGAGATATTGCCTCTCCCCAGATTAGCTAATTCCTAGAGATAGCAAACAACTTATTTGAAAGCATGCATTTAATATGTAAACCAAGCAATCCTGAGCTCTCACCCCAACCATATCCTTCATCTAACTCTCACACACTGAGCAGATGAAAATGGCAGCTTATCGCTATGCTCATGAGAAAGATCTTGTATAAAGTCTAATTGAGGGATGTCCTATAAACACCTACTCAGTAATCCTCAAAACCGCCAAGAAAATCAAAAACAAGGAAAGTCTGAGAAACTCCACAGCCAAGCGGAGCCAAAGGGAACATAGCAACAAAATGTAGTGTGTTGTCCTGGATGCGATCCTGAAATAGAAAAGGTAAAAACTAAGAAAATCTGAATAAACTATGAATTTTAGTTAATAATAATGTATCAATATTGCCTTATTAATTATAATTAATATAATACTAATATAAAGGAAACTGACTGCAAGATATATGAGAATCCTCTGTACTATCTTCTCAACTTTTCTATAAATCTAAAACTCTTCTAAAAATAGTCTATTTAAGATAGCTAGTGGGAAGCAGATGCATAGCACAGGGAGATCATCTCAGTGCTTTGTGTCCACCTAGAGGGGTGAGATAGCGACGGTGGGAGGGAGACACGAGAGGGAAGAGATATGGGGATGTATGTGTATGTATAGCTGATTCACTTTGTTATACAGCAACTAACACACCACTGTAAAACAATTATACTCGAATAAAAATGTTTTTTAAAAGAAGCCAATTAGATAGATAGATAGATAAATAAATAAATAAAATAGTCTGTTTAGAAAAGGAAATGTGACCAATTTCCACACTAAGGGAAAGCCTCATACACTCAAAATACTTCAATATCAGAGAAGAGCATTGTAATTTCTGACACCAGTTTTACAAAATATATCCCAACTGCATTGAAGAAATTAAATAGAATACATTCTCCTAAATATTTCCAGAATTCAAGGTACTTATACATAGGAGAAAGCTTTAAAAACAGAAGGTTCACAATCCTGCATATTTTTAAGAAGAGAGATAGAGAAACAAAGATTACCAAGAATAATTTATTGAAATAGCTGATTTCTTGAATTATGAAAGAATATTCCTTCCCTCAGAATTTCTCCAGGTCCATATAATCCACAGGCACACAGAACTTTAGGTAAAGTAAAATGAGCACCCTAGTTATCCAACAATATGTTTCATAGAGCAGACAACAAGTGGAGAGAGGAAGTGGATGGTTCAAAATTGAATCAATTTACTTACAAACATAACCCTCAAAATATCTGTGAGATTGTCTTAAGGCAAAAGAATCAGATCGAACAATTGATTCTGTTAACCATGGCATGTTAAGCAAATCATAGGGCTACCAGGAATGATGTCTTTGGGTTATCATCCAGATGCTATGATATATAGGTGGAAAAAATAGCCACCCGAAAGGCGATTTAGGTGCTCACTTGGCAGTACGTACATTAAAATTGGAACAATACAGAGACAAGTATGGCCCTTACACAAAGACGACATGAAAATTCTTGAAGCAACTCATATTTTGGAGAAAGGAGAGTTATTGTTCAGTGGGTATGAAATTTGTTTGGGATGATGAAAAAGTTCTGAAGATGGATGTTGGTGATGGTTGCGTAACAATGTGAATGAATTTAATGCCACTGGACTATACACTTAAGGACGGTTCAAATAACAAATTTTATGGTATATATTTTTTATCATAATTTTTAAAAAGAAAGGATCTGGGAAATACCAGAAAGGTCCAATTCCTCTCTAAATGGCTCTCCTAACTTAATTCCAGGGCTGTGAAATTTTTGTTTGTATAATTTTTCTTGAGTTAAAGAACCATATAGCCAGTCTGCTATTCTTTTATTAAATATATTTTTATTATAATTGTTGATTTACATGCAGTTGTAAAAAATAATACAAAGATGCCATTACACATTATCCAGTTCCCCCAATAATAACATCTTGCAAAACTATAGTACAATAACCAGGATACTGAAATTTATAATCAAAATACAGGACATTTCCATCTCACAAGGATCCCTCAGTTTGCCCTTTTATAACCTAATCCATTTCCCTCTTGCCCCTACCCTCTCCCTAACTGTTGGCAACCACTAATCTATCTTCCATTTCTATAATTCTGTCATATCAAGAATGTTATATAAGTAGAATCATACAGTATGGAAGTTTGGGGAATTGGCTTTTTTTATACTCGGCATAATTCTTTAGAGATTCATCCCCATTGTTGTTTGCATCAGTATTTTGTTCCTTTTTATTGCTGAGTAGTAGCAGTCTATGATATGTGTGTATAACAGTTTGTTTAACTATTTACCTATTGAAGGACATCGGACATCTGAATTGTTTCCAGTTTGGGGCTGTTACAAATAAAGCTGCTAAAAACATTCACACACAGGTGTTTGTGTAAGCAAAGTTTCCATTTTTCTAGGATAAATGTGTAGCAATGCACTTGCTGGGTCATATGGTAGTTAGGTGTTTAGTTTTATAACAAACTGTCAAACTGTTTTCCAAACTAGCTGTACTTTTTACATTCCCAGAAGCAATGTATGAATTAGTTTCTCCACATCCTTGTCAGTGTTGGTGTTGTCACTTTTTTAAAAAATTATTTTGGGCATTCTGATAGATGTGTAGTGATATCCTTGTGGTTTTAATTGTCATTTTCCTAATGGCTAATGATGTGGAACATCTTTTCATATGTCATCTTCATATTCTTCAGTGGAATGTGTCTTATTTTGCCCATTTTCTAATTGAATATTTTTTTATTTTTGTTGAGTAGTAAGAGTTCTTTGTCTAGATACTCTTGGATATGCTGTATATTTTGTTTGTAAATATTTTCTCCACACTGTAGCTTGTCTTTCTATCCTCCTAACTGAATATTTCATAGAGAAAAACTTTTTTAATTTTGATAAAGTCTAATTTATCAGTATTTCCTTTTATGGATTATGTTGCTACTATCAAGTCTAAAAAAGTTTTGCCTCACTCTAGAACTTGATCATTTTTTTTCTGAAAGTTTTGTATTTTTGCATTTAATGTATAAGCTCATGATCAATTTTGAATTAATGTTGTATAAGGTATGAGGCTTACATAAAGGTTTATTTTTATGCCTATAGATGTCCAACTCCTCTAGCACCACTTGTGGAAAAGGCTGTCTTTTTTCATTGAATTGCTTTTGCACTTTTGCCAAAAATCAATCAGACATATTTATATGGGTATATTTCTGCTTTTGTATTCTGTTTCATTAGCTATGAACCTATCCCTTCACCGATAGCACAGAGTCTCGATTACTATAGCTATATAATGTCTTGAAATTGAGGACACAGATTCCTTTCAAAATTGTTTTATTCTCGTTCCTTTTTCTTTCCATATAAATGTTAAATTCTCTGTCTATATCTACAGAAATATTGTTGGGATTTGACAGGAATTGCATTAAACTCATATTAATTAGGAAAGAATTGATATCTTTAATATATTGCATTTTCCAACCCATGAACATGATATGCTTTCTTTGATTTCTTTCTTCAGCATTTTCCAATTTTCAGCACACAAGCCCTAAACATGTTTGATAGATTTACATCAAAGTATTTAATTTTTTGAGCAATATTGTATGGTATTGTATTTTTAATTTTGATGTCTCAATGTTCATTGCTAATATATATATAATCACATATCAGTTCTGGAAATGTTATCATAGATTCCTTGGAATTTTCTATGTAGACCATCATGTCATATGCAAATAAGGACAGTTTTATTTTTTCCCTCTACAGTCTATATGCTTTTATTTCTTTTTCTTGCCTTATTGAACTGTCTACAACACCCAGCATTATGTTGAGTCAGAGTGTGAAAGAGACTTCTTTGCCTTGTTATCAGTCTTACGGGTAAAGCACTCACTCTTTCATCATGATGTATAATATTAGATGTAGGTATTTTACAGATGCTCTTTATCAAGTGGATGAAATTCTCCTCTATTCCTATTTTTCTGAGTTTTTAAAAGAATAAGTGTTGAATTTTGTCAAATGCTTTTTCTGCATCAAATTATATAATTATGTAATATTTCTTCTTTAGCCTGTTAATATGATAGATTACACTATATATATATATATATATATATATATATATATATATAT